GCCAACTCCCACTTGGTAGCTGCCCTGCATCCTTCCTTCCAAAATTAACTTGACCCCCTGGGGCTCACCTCTCCAGTCACCTCCTAAGCATTTGCCGTGCCTGCCAAGCTCCTCCATTTCTGTCCCCTTTCCTGAAGTCACACCCTCCTCTGCCATGGCCTCTGAGGTTGGTAGTCAGTACCATGTGCAGCGACTTTGTCCAGCAGGCTGCTGCATCCCTGGACTATAGTGTGCTCATGCAGGTTGGGGAGTCCCTCCTTCGTGGGGGTGTTGAGGGCATGAGGCGACTGTAGAATGCAGTGGTGGGAACACTGGGTGACGGTGCAGTCAGTCTGAGCTGGCATGGGGACAGCAGGGCTCACGGCTGCCGGCCGTGGAGTCCTGGGTCCACACTCACCTCTTACTTTTCTGCTCAGGATCTACATCGGGCGGCGTCTGACCACCTCCACCAGCACCTTCTGATGAGGAATTGGAATCGGCTTTTCACAAGGGAGCGGGATTCATACCAGAGCTTGCGACATGGCTCACTGAGGCGCGGTCCTGGCCTTGGTGGCTGGCCACTGTGTTGATTTGTTCTGTAAATGCTGGGTGCCTGATTTAGTGAGACGAAGAATAGACACTGAAACCACGCTAACCTAGAACCAACCCTACCTGTGGGATCAATCAATGAGCATGTCACACTAATACTACTGGAATAATGTGGTGGTAACTTTTCTTTGACATTATAAATATGAGTATAAATAATTTTACCATGCTAGTCATGATGTATGTATTTTAATCATCTGTAACCTTAATTCAGTTAAAATTCTCCCTATTTTGAAAGAATGAATAATGTTATTAAAGTGACTCCATAAATAGTTTATCCCAAATAAACATGTGGCCTTACATTCACACTGCTGTAGGGCACCCTGTATGTGGATGCAGGTGTCTGTGAAGATGACGCTTCACTGTTAGCTGTTCTGATTTGTGTGTGATAGGGCCCAGGGCACAGGCCGGGCCCTGTGCAGTGCAGACACTGGCCTGCGTGCTGGGGCAGGGCGGTGACTGTAGTGACCACATAGATGATGCACCTAGGACACCTGCTAAAGCACCTTGTCCCCACTCGGGATTGCTGCATTTAGGCTCATTTGTGTTCATTTTTTTTGCGTGCTCTGAGATTCAGCTTCATTCTAAGTAAATCAGTGTCTACTTTAAAAGACTGGAAATAGAAAACAATAAACTTTTGCCAAATCCTTCAGAGATTACTGTATTTGTATATGGTTTAAAAGGAAAACTATGAACGCTTTAGGGTAAAACCAGGCATAGTTCCCCTGTTGTCTAATTATTCTCTCTTCAGCATGGTTTTTTCAAGGCTGCCTCTGATATGCTGTTTATGCTGTTGTGTATTTGTTTCACTTTTCCATATTAAATGCAGTTGTTAAAATAAACGTAAAATTTCCTTTTTAAAAATCTTTTGTTAATATTGAGATGATTCACAGCCCTCATTGGCAGACAGCTGGCTGAGTGGCATCGGAATGCTTTGGCATGTACCCTCTAAGAGTCGCTAAGGTCCCATTCAGTCAGCAAGTGTGTCTTTCCTGGGAAACGGGGTCTATCTGCTCCTGGGCTTCTCTCTAGTGTCATGACATTGGCGTGGCACTCAGCACGTCCGGGAAAGGTCAGTGCCCATAGAATTAACATGTCTTAAAGAGCTAGTGACCCCCCATTGCCACTGAACCATCTGTCAGGCACCCGGGCCCTTGATGGGCAGGTGCTCTTGTCCCTGTTACTGATGGCGTCACTAAGCTCCTGGTGAAGGGCTGACAGTGTTTCCATAATGAGGCAGGAGACAAGGTTTTCTAGAGGCTTTTCCCATCATGACATCGTTCTAGTGGACAGTTTCCTTAAAGTGTGTATATGTATGTTTGTATATGTATTTTTTTCAGGTAGGGTAACAGTATTATAATTAAGCTTTTGCAAACAGACCTTTACTATTAATACAAATAACACTTAGTCATTGAATAACAAGTAAACAATACACAATCCAAACAATTTTGGATTAAAATAAATTAAAACATGCCTGGCTGGTGTGGCTTGGTGGTTGAGCATTGACCTATGAACTAGGTCATGGTTCGATTCCCAGTCGGGCACGTGCCTGGGTTGTGGGCGTGGTCCCCAGTCGGGGGGCATGTAGGAGGCAGCTGATGGAGGATTCTCATTGTTGATCTCTCCCTCTTCCTTCCTCTCTGAAATAAAAAGGGAGGGAGCCCTGGCTGATTTGGCTCTTTGGATAAGGCATCGGCCTGCGGACTGAAGTGTCCTGGGTTTGATTCCTGGTTGGGCGGGGCACGTGCCCGGGTTGTGGGCTTAATCCCCAGTGGGGGGCCGTGCAGGAGACAGCTGATCAATGATTCTCATCATTGATGTTTCTCTCCCTCTCTGAAATCAATAAAAATATTTTTAAATAAAGGGGGGAAGAGGGGTCAATGAACTGATACTGATTTCTTAGCTGTTGTCAATATCTATGTCCCCAGTAGATAGGAAATGAGCCAGTGGGAGGCCATGTTAGAATAGCCCAGTCCACTGATGGTCAGTCTTGCAGGGGAGGTACCATCTGTCCCTCACAGACTTGGCTGCTTGGGAGAAAGTATTGCTGGACTGCTCAGACTGGCCGCTGCATCCTATCCTTGGGCTCACCCACCCACTGTGCGATGAGGTGCAGAGGCCTACCTGGGAAGGGTGGGAGAGCCACCAGGGTGGTCCATCTTTGAAGGGGACCCTCTGCTATCAGGTGAACTGCCCTAGTTGCCACCACTGGAAAGGAGATGAGATGAACCTACTGAGTCCTAAGTGCAGTCTGGTGAACAAAGTAAGAGTTTGAGAAAAGAATAGAAGATGTAGTATGCTATCGTTTATGCAAAAAGCCAAAGGAAATGTACACATCTCATTGTGCAAAAAGGAATATGGTGTGAATATGCCAGAGATGGGGATTGGCTAGAGGGGTGGGCGGGACAGCAGAGCAGGAGATGGAAAGGTACAAGGAGGAACCATACTTTTTGTGTAAATGACTCAGACCCATAGTGATGCTTCACTTATTGCCAAAGTCAAAGAGAGACAAGGGAACCTGATGAATGAAACCACGCTGAAGGGGTGGGGAAGGAGAGTGGGGCCCGAACACTGGATCACAATGAGCTGGGCACTGTAAGGTAAGGTCCAGTGGACACAGCAGCACAGGTCTTGCTGGTAAATCTAGTTTCTGAAAGGGATGAATGAATAGGCCCCTGAGGCTGCTTCATTGTGTGCTGACCCTGAGCACAAGCACATTCTGGGCAGCGAGCCAGGCATCAGCAGAACTGGGGGGCCAGCATGTGGCCCGGCCGGCCCCCAGCTCAGGGCTCAGTCAGCTCCGGTCCAGCGCACAGCCTCCCTGCCCCCAGGCCTGCAGAAGTGAGGACCCCTCCCCCACTGCTTGGCCACCAGGCCCAGCTGCCTCCCTCTCTCTCCCCAGGTGGAGGCTCTGCTAGTGAAGTCACCACCTTCCTTATTCATTCTCGTCAGCATGGGGTTGCCATCTTGTTTGTCTTTACCTAATGTTAACTTAAAGGAGAAAACACGCTTATTTTAAATGGTAACTGTGAGTTCTGCATGCTGGAATTCTTTTATTTGCCTCTAGGGCAGACATATCCCAATCAGCAAAGACAAAGCCTATACACGGGACCCCACATGCATCTCTCTCTCCAGGACTGGCTGCGTCCACAGGCTGCTCCTGGGTCCACATGGAAGGAAGGGGGGGGGGGGGGGGGGGGGGGGGAGGCTTGCACTGGAGGTGTGTTAGCTCAGGGCTTTCAATACAGAAACCTGGAGGTGTGAGTGCAGCGACTCCAACCTCCGCACTCCCTCCCTCAACCACAGGACAATGCAGCTCCAGAGAGATCAAGGTGAAGCAAGCCAATGCCCTCTGTGCCCTGTACTCACTTGCCAGTGCCTTTCTCCGGGGAGGACCCTCAGGAACAGGGGATCCTGAGCCAGCTGAAGCGACCTGCAGTCGCAACCACAGTGACACCCACAGCCCTTGCTCTGTCCCATCCAGGACACAGAAGGCTGGCTTTCTACTTGGGGGGGAAATACATTTTAAAGGAAAGATGGAAGAAGTTGTCTAAATCCACAGTGCAAATCGTTAAACATTGGAAATTCATTAAACTTTTTGGTCAAAATAATAGAAATATATCCAACCCTATTTTACTAGAACTGCTTTTTCTTAAGGAACAGGGATGAGTGATTCTTAACTCTGTTCCACATCTCAGATTAGTAAACCATGTCACAACCAATATACAGCATTATTTTTCAAGTAAAATAAATGCACTTTTAACTTCTCAATTTCTAACGTGAACTTAAGTGGCGTTATTAATTCAGGGTAATGAGTGACAGCATTTGTGCATCACTGTCATTAGCAATCAAGACATATCTGCTTACCCGTTTTCAGAGTGAGCGTGAGCCCTGCTCCTCCCCCTTCTCCCCCAACACTGCCTTGGGCTCAGGAGCGAGTCAGAAGGCAGTGCAGCCCCAGCAGTTAGTATGGTTACAGCTCTGTGGCTTGTCTGGGAATGCTGGTGGCCTCATCTTGTAAGGTGTTTGATTTTGCTGGCTTATGCACACAGGGTGAGTGAGCTGTAACAGCATGGTCCCCTCCCTACGTTTAACAAATTAAAAGCAAGCACACGTTTTCAACTGCAATGAAGTTGAGAGGCATGGAACCTGGTGCTCATCGCATTGCAGCAAGTCTGCTCAGTTCCTTGCAATCTGCTTTCTCAGCGGTGCGTTAAGGTGTCTCGGATCTTACCTGCTGTGTCAGAGGTAGTATTTCTACAGAAACAAGCAAAGTTAGCAAGCCTGGGGACAGGCATGCTCAGAACTTCACAGGTCCTGCCACCCTGCCAATGAAGGACAAGGTTCCCAGTTGTTCTGAAGCATAATTTGTACAACCTCATCATCTGTGATCAAAGAAAAAGGCAATACTTGGATTTGGATTAAAAACACTTTGTAATGTGTGTTGCTTTTATTAGGTGGTTACACCAGAAGGTGTGATGGAAGATACAGGCATGTGGGAGGTCAAGCTGCCTGAGCATTTGGCCAGTGGCCCCCGGGCGATTGGTACAGTAGCACGAGAGCCCTCATCAGATGGCAGGAGGACGAGAGAGTGATGTGGGACAGGTGTTCTGTTGGGTGTTCATTTTTTGGTCTATAAACTGGAAAGGACGGCTCAGATTTAAATAAATACATTTATTGTAATGGCCTTTATTGAGCTCTGTCCTTCAGTCTGCACCGACCAAGTTCTTCGCTTGTGCAGCGACCCCCCACAGCCTCCCTGGCTGTGTGTATGCAGGCTCCAGTCTAGGAAGGGAACAGGGCGTGCACCCTGCGATCCACGGAGAGGACACCCCTTCCACAACAGAAACCACAGGCTTAGCTTTGCAGGATGAGATGCGTTCTCACACTTCCTAGTTGACTTTGTCCTGGAATATATACAGGTTATTGGTGGCAGCCACAGCAATAATGTTGTCGTTGGGGTGCCAAGCCGTGTGCAGAATCTTCTTATTGAAGTCCAGACTATCCACACTGATCTCGTCCTTCTTCCTCTTCCCGCCTGGACACACTCTTCGAGGCTTCAAACTGGCTCGGGGCTTGCTGTTCTCTCTGGAAGCTTCCAGGGTCACGTCCCTCCTCGTGTTTCTGTCAAACATCCTGAAGAAGTTGTTGTAGGACCCTGTCATGATCGCACTGTTCAAACAGAGAGAGAAGCACGTGTAAGCCAGCAGGCACTTGATGCCCCGCCATAGCGCTAAACCCAGCACAAGACATGTGGTCACTGGTACTCCTGTACTACATAACAGAACAATTCTTAGAAACAAGACATGAAAAGTAATCATGGTCAGGAGAGAATTTCTTACTGAACTTCATATATATAAAACACTTTCATAAAGTCATGTCTGTAAAAACCAATATTACAGAACAAAAATGTAATGGACTCATATTTTTTATTACATTAATACATTTTTAAAAACGGTAAAAAGAACCCTACTACATATCATCTGTCCTGGTGATGAATAACAGTGTAATTTATTTCCAAGGCTTAACTTCTGTATTGTATCAGTGATTCGAAGTTGATAATCCATGTTCATATTCAATAGACATTTGTCTGACTTGGCACAGTAGCTTCATTCACAGTTGATCAAAGAATGTGTTTTTAATTCATTAATTTCAAAAATATTTTTTTACAAGGGAAAGTCATTGGGAGGAGAGTGGGAGAGATTTAGAACCTCATTCACAATCAATTCCAGATGTTGTAATACTATTTCTTCAGGATTAATTCTAATAGCTTTCAGTAAATCATCATCATAATACATATTTATTATATTGGTTAAAACTTCGTCTTTTTCGAGAAAAATGGCGGAACGACAGTGACAGTTGCCATGACTTCAGCCCTGGCTTCAGAAGGTGTCCAGTTCTGGATGAGATGTGTTCAGACAGCGCCGCTGATTTCTCCCAGCAGGACACGACCAGAATCCTGGCCATTTCTGCAGTCCAACACCCATGTCCTCCTGTCTCCTCACTGCATGAGGAGCTACGGATCTTTCAGGCACCCTGAAGGGGAAGCCTGGTGCTTCATTTACATGGTTCAAGGCTGATCCCAGCTGTAGGCAAATACTTGAGTGTCTGATTAACCTTGTCTAGAACTTCACACCAGAATAAAAGATAAACTCAGGAGAAAAATTACTCCCAGCTAGCTGTACTTATTTTGACTGTGGGAACACTGCCAGATGTGGGGTAAGTGGACTCCCAGCAGCGGCTGTCCGTTCTTTAGACAAGCTAGAGCAGTGATGGCGAACCTATGAACTCATTTTTTTGGTTGATTTTCCTTTGTTAAACGGCATTTAAATATATTAAATATCAAAAATATAAGTCTTTGTTTTACTATGGTTGAAAATATCAAACAATTTCTATATGTGACACGGCACCAGAGTTAAGTTAGGGTTTTTCAAAATGCTGACACGCCGGGCTCAAAAGGTTCGCCATCACTGACCTAGAGCATGTGGCAGGGCTGCTCAGCTGCAAGGCCTGGGCCCTCCTCCCCTTCACCCTACCCTCAACAGAAGCTTCCACGCAAAAAGGCAGGGGAGTGTTCACAAGAATGAAAGAACAAGTAAACATTACTGGAAAGCTTTTGCAAGTTCCTGGGGACAGGCGATTTAAATGAATTTTGCATGCATTCAGATATACCAAAAAGCATAAATATACAAGAATATGTGTGTACCCACAAGCCACCGCTGACAGTTAAATCCTGCTGTGTCCCCTGCGGCACAAGCACTCAAGGTCAGGGTGCACCACACTGCACATGTCTATATTCTGAAGAGTTACATGTTCTTAGACAAACACTGTCCTGCAATCCTAAAAATCACACGTCCATCAAACCATGCGTATCCGTGCAGCTTCCTGTCTGTGCTCAGCGCCTTCCTGAGACCATCTGTGGGGCACACGTGGTTTTACTTCATGCAGCAACTTCCAACCACTGCACTCATTATTTCTAGAAGCTCTGATTGATTCTTGTCCATATCTCCTAGGCCACTTTTGTCTTGTGCCTGTTCAGGTTTGGTTCCTTTAACCTGTGTTTCTGGCATTCTTATTTTATATTCTGTAATGTATGATTTCAGTATCTGAATTCTCAGAGGCGAAGTTCTGTTGTCTCTGCTGATTCCCGGTGGCATGGTAGTTTTCGCAGGTGAGCTCGTGTGAGCCCTGGGTGTACCTGCAGGGGCTCTCTGCCATGGGTATGGGCACCCCTGCATGTTCTCGGGGGGCTTGTCAAGATGTGGTTCTTGAGTGCTCTCTACTTGGCCCACTTCTAGGGTTGTATCTGCAGTGGTCCAAGTGCAGGCTTGTTTACCACTTGCTATAAAAATCTCAGTGTGTGCTGCCTCCTTGCATGGCATCTGCCTGGGCCCCTCGTGTCACTCCTGTGGGGCTGGGAAACTGAGGCCAACACAAAGCTCATGCTGCTTTGCTGTGCCATGAAGAACAAGTCCTGTCTCTGACCAGGAATCTCACCTCAGCCAGCACCCATGAATCACTAAGCCTGACAGGTAAGTTGGGCACAAGCCCAGACTGGAAGCCAGTTTACTCCTGCAGACATGCAGAGCACCTCACCCTCAGCACAGGTCATGCAGCCAGCGGAGATACAAACTCTCCATCGCTGTGACACAGAGGGCAGGTTCGTGGTCACAAAGCCCAGGATTTTTATTGAATTCTCCTGGGACCCCATCTGGATGCAGACAGATACCTTTTCCATAACCCACGAGGACCCCCGTTTCAATGCCCTGTCTGCGTGGGCCCATAGTGTGACTGTACCACCCCTGGGCTGTACAAGCTGAGGGGTCCTGGCTCCCTCGTTTCTGGCCCTTGTGAGCTCAACTGTGCATGTGAAGAAATGTGTGGTGTCATACCAGCGTTCCTGCTGTTTGTGCCGAAGGGTTTTTCAGAATGCCCGCCAGTCCCTTACTGCCAGGAGCGCTACGTGACACAGTTCTATTAAAGATGATGCAAGATCATCTCCTGCCATCATTTGAAACAGAATTTTTTGATATTAAAGATTTAATTCTCAGCAATAGTATTATCATCTTTAAAGAATGCAAAAAATAAACTATCGATGTAACAGAATTGCCACATTATAAATTAAAGGAGGATTTCACCCTGGCCCCCTCTACTCTGTCCAAGCGTGACAACCAATAGCGCTGAGGGTGTTTTCTCCTGCTTCTCTCTGGAAGAGCAGGCCATTCCCATACTTACTAGTAAATGACCTCCCCCTTCCTTCCCACTCATTTTGGAGACAGAAAGTAAGAAATTATCGTTCACCAAGCATTTAAAAAACCATCAACATGAACCTAGTACCACGCTGTCTAAATATGGAAAGAATTATGAGCAAGGGGAGAAATTGGTTCAGACATCCTGCCTTCCCCACCTCAAGATTGTCACCAAACAGATGGCCTGGAAAGCCAAGTCCGTCAGCATCCTCCACGCAGCTTGCCATCTGTCTCTGGAAGTCACCTGTTGGCCTGAGGAGACCCATGGGAGACGAGCCTGGGCAGCGGTCAGTCTTGATGCAGGCTTACCTGTCTGGACCGTTCCAGCAGCACTCAAATTTGTCGAAGATGCAGTCATTTTCGTACAGAGAACACAGCTTGCTTCGAAGGTACTCGTGGACCTTAATGAGATCACAGGATGGTTAGAAAGCGTCATGTGTGAGATGTGGCGTGTCCTCGCACAGAGGCCTCACCTGGTGGGTCTCGATGGGCCGGCTTTCCATGTTCAGATCCCAGACCTTCACCGACAGGTAGTCTCGGGTCATCATGTACCGACCACTATGGCTGAATTTCACATCGGAGATGGAGGAAATTATTTCTGAGAAGAAAGACCTACTGCTGGGATCTTCAGGTTCTTCAAAAACTGAAAAACAGTATTTTCGGCTTCTGTTTAGAAACTGGACAAATCATTTTGAAGTCCCAGCAGGACCTAGGCCCTCCCTGACACTTCAGAGGGCTACTGCTCAAGCTTCTGATCTCCAGGCACTTTCTGGTGTTCCACTTCTGTGCTTAAGACATTTAGGCAGGCCACTCAGTGCGAGAGTGACAAGGGGCAGCATCAGAAGCACAGGCCCCGATTCCACCCAGCTCAGGACCAGCATGTCCACGCGTGAGGCCTCAACTGCTACCCGGAGAAGTTCCCCACGACATGCTGACTTGTGTCCTGGTTAAGGCCCTGGGCTGACTGGAGGCTGTTACTGCACAGACAGCTGCGTGTCCTTGTGGCTCAGGCCCTAGCAAACATGTCCAGCCTTTCCCCGTCCCTATAACTAGAAGTTAAGAAATGGCATCACATGAGAACGCAGGTGCCATGCTCAGGGCAGCTGAGAAAGTATCCCCACGTCTGCTGAAGGTTTGCCGTTCCAGCAGCTTAGACATCCTGTCTTCCCCACCTCAAGACTGACCACACCTCCACATGGTCCAAGTTTCAATAACCACCTACTTCAAGGTTTGTTTTCACTACTCCATGGTCATGATCTACTCTGACGAAACTGGATCGCTACTTTCAGGAAGATCCTCATCTTCCTTGGCAAATCTTACTGTCTCCCAGTTCTGCTCTCTCGGCAGTCAGTCCATGGTCTTTCACCCGTGGCGTCCTGGAGGCTGCGCCTGCACCTGAGCCCTGGGCACTGCCATGCTTTCGGCTCAGTCAACTTTGGGCAAGGAGGTCGGCATGTTCTTTCATTTTAAGCTGCTGTACTTTTTTTTCGAACCTGTACGTTTGTTGGCACTGTTTGGAGCAGGACGGTTTTTACTGGGGCACACCTCAGGATCCTCCAGCAACGTCTCCATAACATACGTCACATCCCCAAGACATGTAGGATGATTTTCTATAAAGTTGGGCCTATTCTTTATGGGTAAAAATAAAACGAACCCACAACTTTCTTTACCTAGGAGAGTCAAGGCTTGGGATTGAAGTGCTAGACTTTCCTGAGAGACTGGCTGCCAGTCCAACACAGCTAACAGCTGAGAAGGGTCACAGGGCAAATGCATCCTGGAGGCCCAACCCAGGTCCCTGTGACGATGCACCGAGATTGGGGGCAGAGCCAACCTACGGTGGCTCCAACAGGAATGTCTCTGGGAAGCAGGACCTCTTGGCAATGGCCCATGACTGATGGAACCAAGGAGGCCACAAGTGGGCCCGAGCGTGGGGGCAGAAGAAAACCCTCAGCCTTTGCACACACTCCAGAGTCTGGACAGGATTTAAATGAGCTGTTTCCAACAGGCGGGCACTTACACTTAGAGTGTCGGTCGCACAGGGCCGAGGAGCGCATGTCACACAGTCGGATGGTCCCCTTGCTGCTGCTGTACACAAACACGTTGCACTGGTGTGGATGGAACTCTGCTGCGGTGATCACCTCCGTCAGCTCCTCCATGTTCGCGGGCTTAATGTCCACGATGTCTGGAAGCGCGGTTAAGGCAGAGTGCCTGGCGGTTTTAGTTAGTCCATGTCAAGCACGGTTCCCCCCGCAGTGAGGATTAAGAGATTAGCTGTGAGGGAGCCCTTCAGTAAGAGGATCCACACTGATGCATTAAGCAGACTAGGATAATGGGCCTGACAGGGCTGGACACACGGACACACACACACTCTCTCTCTCACCAGTGCTGCTTTCCTCCTGTTGCTGCTTCAGATGTTTTATGAAGCCTTCATATAGATCACACAGACTTAATGACGTAAATAAGAAAAGCAAGCAAGCACCCACCTGCACAAAAATCTCATGCTCTATCCATAAATAACCACACACACACACACACATACCACACACGGTATCTCCAAATTCCAAAAGATTCTGCTTTCCCAAGTATCTGACATCCAGAGCTTGTGCTAAACAGTCACCCAGGGTCACATAGTAAGTTGCCAAGTATAGCCATCACTGTAGTGAAAAAACAAGAGCAGAAGCTGCCTCTCAGATGTGTCCTGCCACACTGAGAAAGCTGACACCTGGGTGACAGCATGGCAGTGACCCCAGGGATGTGCAGGGAGGGGACCCAGGGAAGCTCCGGGCACGAAGCTACGAGTGCCAGAGAAGACTCCCAGCAGGCACAGGGCAGCTGGAGAAAGAACCAGGGCCACAGATGAGAGAGCAAGGCCCAGCTCTCAGCTGGCCAGCTCAGAAGCAGGGAGCCTAAGGCACACTGAAGGGACAGTGGTCACCGGAGGAGCCCCAGGGCGGCTGTCAGAGTGCAGAAGGGGCAGGGCTACCGGGCACTGGGCAGGCGACTGAGCATCTGGAGAAGCACATTAGCTCCTATTTCTATCATGTGAGCAGATCAAAACTATGTTTACAGTGTTCATAGGGACAACTAAGTATAAGAAAGTATGTTTTATAATCTCTGTCACAGGCAAGGGTGTTTGAAGCATGATTATGGGACAACCATTGTTTAATAAGCAATGAAAGGTATGATTGTATAAACCTAGCTGATTTGGTTCAGTGGATAGAGCGTCGGCTTGCGGACTGAGGGGTCCCGGGTTCAATTCTAGTCAAGGGCACATGCCCCGGTTGCAGGCTTGATCCCCAGTAGGGGGCATGCAGGAGGCAGCCAATCAATGATTCTCTCTCATGACTGATGTTGTCCTTCCTCTCTGAAATCAATTAAAAAAAATATATATATGTAAAAGATATGATTGTATAAACAAACCCTTTGTGTATTAGAGTTCTCACAGATCATTAAGGGAAAACAGGAGCTTCCAACAGGAGAAAAAACGACAAAGGACAGTAAAAAAATAAAAAAATGGATATTAACTTAATAGAGATCTATGGCTCCAAAGACTGTTACATATAATACAGGAACACGTGTATAATTAGTCCTGCAATTGTAAGTCTGTACTCCTACTGACATGGAAAGATGGTCATATGTTAAGAAAAAAAATGAGGTTAGGTGGGGTGAGGCAGAAGAGAACAAAGGGAGGAATAAATGGTGATGTAAGGAGACTTGACTTGAGGTGATAAATACACAACCCACTATACAGATTATGTATTGTAGAACTGTATACCTAAAACCTATATACTTTTATTAACCAATGTGAACCTAGTAAGTTCAAATAAAAAATTAACGAGGCTAATAGCCATTGCATCACTCTCTCTTAGTTTTTACAATAACCCCAAGAGGCACATTCTAGTCCCTCACCTTTACAGAGGAAGATGCCAAGGTCACTGAGCTGAACTTGGGCCTCCTGATCCTCCCGGGTGGTAGGAACTTTACTATCACTGTGTAGAGGACAAGCCTGGTGTTTTCAAAACATAAAAACTTGTGCACACGGGCATAAAAAGCTTGGAAGGATATGCATCCAACTACTTACAATGGCATCTCTGGAGGGCTGGACTATGGGGGCAGGATCTTCCTTCCTCTCTATTGTTTCAATTTTATTCAGAAGAAGAATGATTAAAAATCTAAGGGTTTAGAGGAGGATAAAGAGAAAGCGGGGCATGAGCATAAATATAAGTATCATAACTTGGGAAGTTTTGCCCAGTTGAAGAAAGAAGGGAACAGGGGAGCCAGGCACATTGCTCCTTCCATAGATGGGGTGGGGCGCTCTGGGGCCGGCCTCCTCTAACTGCAGCACCACAGAGACCTCCGCACTGTCTGTCAGACAGCTTCATAAACTAAGTAACCAATGAAAAAAACCACCAACTCAAGTCAAGGACAACAGCTCATAAAAATTAAGTGTGAAATGCTAGAATTTAAAGTTGTATACACTTCATTTCCTGAGATTTATGTGAGTAAAAGGCAGACAGGCACATGCCAAACCATGAGCCTCGGCACAGCAGTAGTCAAGACTGCTCTGGCTGGCCGGCCAGCCAACACTCCAAAATGTGGAAAAATGTGACTGAAGCTACTTGATTTCATAGGGTCCTTATTTTCTGGGAAAATCAATAACTTTTAAAATGTGTGATCAGACAATAAATTTAGATTTTCATCCTAAAAATAATAGCATATATCACTTAAAAGATGAATTTTTTACTACTCCTTTAATTGCATGTCTTCCATGATCAGTCACCTCTGGGGTTGGGTACTTAAATATCATTCTAACCAAAGCCAGTATTTTCTATTAGCAAATTTAGTAACACCTCTCCTCCCCCCAAAAGCAATGCTGAACTTTCAAATACATACTACATAAAACTGCCTATGATTTAACCAGGAAGGCAATGGACTTGAGATCATGCCCAGCAGAGGAAACTTTTCCCAAAGGTAGAAAACAGTTCCACTTCAAGGAACAGACCCTTTAAACCACAGAGAACTTACATCCCCGCTGCCAGGCAGCAAAGACTGGAGGGGGGTATAGCGCTGAGAGCTCCCTATCAAAGAACAAGCCTAGGAAAGAGCGAGACCTGCCCGATGAAGGATACTAAAGCTTCTATCTGTGATCTCTAAATGCCACAGATTAATTCTCAGGTCATCTGCAGAAAGATACGTTTCATGATCACTGTTTACGGAAATGGAATTTATATGGTATGTGTGAGCATTTGCAAAAATTCGTCGTGGACTTGCTTCTACCATGAGGTCCATGGGTTTCAATATTGGGACCTAAAAAATGGAAGAAAACAGGAATTCAAAACAAGACCACAGCAGCATATAATCAGAACACACAGTAGATAACAAAAGAGACGAATCTCCATTCACAGTTCAGTGACAGTTTTGTACCATAACACCCTAAATAGCAAGTAACAGGGCTATGGAAATAGGCTACAATATGGGAGGTTGTCTATTTCAAGCTGCTCCTCTTGGCTGCCACTACCAAGGCTGATACCTTCTTGTGGAAGAAAAAATTAAACTAGCACCTGAACAAACTGCCTTCAGGACTCTGATGCCTAATGATGTGGCTTCACTGCCCTGCCTGTCCCTGTGGCTATGGGGAGGCTCAGCTGGACCCTCCCTGTCTGCTCTCCTGGGAGGGAGCTGGAGCATGGACCTTCCCTTCCCACCACTAGTGGCCTGCTGCTCCACACACACAGCACAGCAGTGGCGGGGTGCAGGGCTGGAGGAGCGCACAGGAGGGGCCCTGGGAGCTGCTGTTTCTGTCACACTGGCTGCTGCACTTGTGCTCTTGGGGCTGCTCAGTTACATGGCAGGGGCATTTGCTGGTGTATATATTATACTTCAATAAAAGGTTTTAAAAAGGGGGCACAGAAACCCTATCTCTTCCAGGGAAGAGGGGACCTACACCGAAATGGAAACAGCGGAGAGGTGTTCGCCAGGCGAAGGAAAAGAGGAAGGGCCACAGCCTGAAGGAGGGGCTCAGTCGTGGGTGACAGCGTCCACATGTGATAAAAAGAAAAAAGGACCAACACCACTGACATCTAGCAGAAAAGGAGCTTTAAAATCCAAACAAAAATTAGTGATAGTATTTTTTGTTATTTTTGTAATTTAAAACCAAAAGGTAGTGCCTTAAAGGATAAGAAGGGAAATCTCTCATTTTAGTCTTCTCTGGCCAAAATTCTTTGGGAAATGTGCACAAAGAGACTTCCCTCACTTTTTTTTTTAATTGATTTTTTTAGAGAGAGGGATAGAAACATCAATAAGAGAGACCCATCATTGATTGGCTGCCTCCTGCATACCCCCCACAAGGGATCAAGCCTGCAACCCAGGCATGTGCCCTGACTAGGAATCAAACCAGTCATCTCTTGGTTCCTAGTTCGACTCTCAACCACTGAGCCACACTGACCGGGTGACTTCCCCTTTAAAACAGTTAAATGCTGACCACACACCTGCTTTCTCTAGAATGGGACATGTTAGCCCTATGTGGTTTGGGACAGGCCTGGCATACCCCTCCAATACATACATGTCTCATGTCTAGTAACCAAAACACAGGACAACTGAATACTTATAATAGAAGACACCTTCCTCTAATTAATGAGGCCTGTTTTCTAACACTAAAATAATTTAAGAGGAAAAGAAAATTTAGGAAAATCAACAGTTCTCACTCTTACCCAGTTAAATGTAGACAACTTAAAATCCATGTGAACCTCTCGAGAGGCAATTAGGATGCACACACAGACCTGAATGCACAGGTACGTCAATGTAGTTCCCCAGCCTGTGACCCCGTACCCCACCCTGCGATAAACAAGAGCAGTTTATACAGAAACTGCTTTTCTCATATGCTTCACCAGCCACCAAATCCACCAGTTTTATTCAGGCCAAGCACATAAAAGCAGCCTTGAATAAAACCAAGATTGAGCCTAATAAGACCTATAGCTTTTCCAAAACAGGCATGTGGGTGTCACATGTGGCAAGCAGGCATGGTCAGAAGGAGCTTGGGTACTGAGAAAGGGTGGTATGCTCAGGTGGGCGGCAGTGCTGGGGACAGGCTGGGGCAGGAGAAAGTGCACCCCACATGGTCCCATCCTGCTCCCCTCTATTACACTTGACAGTTTAAATGAGCAGCTCACAACAGTGACTGTACCTTAGTGTCACTGTCACAAACAGGGACCATCTACACTATCATGAACCACGGATCCAAAAGCAGAAGCACGGGCGTCAGAAATCGCCAGCTGGATCACATCCTGGTTCAAATTAGGGTTCTGTAAACTCAGTTTCAGCACATTACCCAGCTTTCCTGGGTTCAAATCCCTGGAAATAGGGCAACACTATCGACCTAAGAGGTCTTATGGTGACTGTACCATCCTGCATGTCTCCTCGGCAAAACATCCCAGTTTTCCTAACTGCTATGGCACTGCCTTTGCTGCTGGGCTGGGGCTCCGTCCTGTGCATCCATCACCCCAGCACCCCGCTTGCACCCAGTGCAGGAAAGCAGAGGAATGGCATTACACAGACAAGCACACTGCCCAGTGTCACTACAGTGGGCCATGTGGGGGAGTCCTGCAGCAGTGTCCCTCTCTGCAGAGCCTCTGCTAGTCTGAATGTGTGCACTACCAACCTTCACCTGATAAACAAGTAAACACACTTAGAAACACGAGGCAGCTTTGTGTCGGGATCCTCTGCACTACCATGGGTGCCCATCCTCCTGCGCCGTCCTGTCCATAGTGGTACTTCTCTGGTGTCATATGAGGCATGCCTGGCCATGACTCACGTGTTTTACCTCCTTCACGTTTTGTCACATTTAAGATACTATCCATGGCATGCACCTCCCCCTCTCCCTCTCAGGCCAATTACAAGACACTGAGATTTTAAGTTTTACTCAATCTCATAGATGTTAAAAATGTGAAAAAACTTAGGTATCAGAACTGATGAAATATGGCCATTTCATTCTATACCCAGTGCACCAAAAAGGGAGTGGAGAATTCAACAATTAAAAAAGTAACGATGCCCATGGACTGACAGGCAAGGATTCTGAAGCATTAGACCTGCCTCAGTTAACTCAGAGAAAATCCAACTAAAACCACCATAAATGCATCTTGGTGGCCTGTAGCTCATCTTTCAATCTGCAACCTGTGCTATGTCACCTTGGGAGGTGTTCTGAATTCCTCCTGGTCGTCAGCCCTCCTATGTGCTAATCTGAACCTGTACAGTGAAAGGCAGTTGATACATTTAGAAAGGCTCCTGTTGTGGAATTAAATCGGAGTCTTTTCTTCAGTATTACTGCATTTTCTGAAGCTAATGTGTGACTTTTGCTCTTGTGAAATATGAGGAATCCCATTTCTAACGTGCATACATACAATGACTATTATATAAATAACTTTCTGAATCACGAAGGCAGATAATAGCTTAGCTGACTTAGGCATTATTATTGATCAATTTATGAAAAATACTGATAGTTTAAAGAAAACGGAATGTATACCCGCAGTGCTGTAATTCTAAATGGGTCTCGAAGTCGTCCATCTTCATCTTTCAAGTTATAACCTTCTGCTCTTTTATCCCGTTCACTTATTTTCCATAATTTAATAGTTTTATCTGAAAATAAAAACCTCATTCTCCATATTAAAAGAAAAAACCATATTATCATGCACCACTATTAGTTGGGTATTATACTAGAAAAGTGTATATTTCCAATTATGGGTGGACACTCGTTTCTTACATAAGTAACGGTGTCCGAGCTGAAAATGGGGAGGGCACCATGGCGCTTGGTCCACATGTGGGTTTTCTTTTCCTTTTCTAAGGATGTGGTACTGGGAGAGTGTGTGTTTGCATTATTTGAATTTTCAACCTATCACTTGTTTCCTAGCTAATAATTACCCTCCCCACAAAGTTTAGAGCAAAAATAACTTCTATAATGGGTTAAAAAAAACCCCCAACCTACACATAGAAAATGAAATCCTAAATCAAACAGCCATTAAAAACAAAAGTCTTACCGTTTGTAGAGAGTAGAAAATGAGCAGCATTCTGTTGTGGTAACCACCTAATTTTATTAATTTTTTCCTCAATTTCTAGACTTTTCAAATAGTCAAATTCTGGTTCATGACTTTGAAAGGTACTGTAAACATTATATTCTCCCCTAGAATGAGGGTGGCTTTTATTCTGCAAGAAAATATAAAGCTGTTTTCATGACCAAGCACAGTGTAGGGGAAATGTTAGCATTACCAATTTGAACATCAAATGACCACACACATTTTTAAAAGTAAAACAAACAAAAAAACACCTGAGCCCCCCAAAATGTACAATAGATGACAGTCAAAATTAACCTCCTTAGTAAAACAACAAGATGACCCCCCAGTCCTTCTATTCTCCCTACTTCCACCAGGAGCCAGGGCCACACCACAGATGCCCCTTGGTGCTCCTGTCTGGTGACATGTACTATGGTACAGACCTCCATGGAAGAGAACAAGGGCTCGTCAGTCTCTATACTAAAATTT